GGGGGGGCGGTAGGTGAAAGCAGAACCTGTAGGCAGGACCGGTTGTAAACGATGACTCACCTTGGCAGTAACCTTGGCACTGGCTATCTTCTGCAGTTGTACCCGATCCCACACGCAAATAGTCTGATCGTCCTGATTGCCCACGCTGACAAGGTTCCGCGAGTTGGGGCAAAATCGGACGCAACTGACGCGAAAGTGGTGGCTGGAAAATTCGGCCACTTGACAATGATTAGCTCGGCTCCAGAGGCGAACTTTCGGTTGATGGCCGAACTGATAGGGGAGATAGAGAGAGCGATGAACAAGAAGGATTACAGATAACACGGCGCCTCGAAAGAATAAAGTGCAGCAACTCTGAGGGCAGTTAGGACCGCTAAGCTGGCAAGAGATGCTTTCTTAGAATGAGAATTTACTAGGTTCGCTTCACCTCACAAAGAAATAGGACAAGCCGGATAATGATGTCAGGTTTTGCCCTCGCCCTTGCTTCACGAGTGACAAGGGAAAATATGGGCAAGATAATTAAGCTGGCAACTGACCCATTCAGGAGCAACAACTGCATAATTTAGCAGGGCACAGGCAATCAGGCGAATTAGACGAAAGTGGAACTATTTTGGACCAAGTTAATTAGGATAGAATAAGATGGAGGGAACAGGTCTACAGCAATTCACCCGTATTTTCCCGAGACGAATTTAACAACCTAAGAATGATTTCTTTTGAAAGGTTTACAAACTAGTTCCCCGCGGTTAATGCTGCATACAAAAGGTGAATACCCTTAAGTCCTGCAACCTGTAAAGCAGTCAACAGATGGAAGACAAATTAGGTTAGGATGGCGTTATTGAAAGTAGCATGGAAACTGGTGATGGTCAAAAGTAGCGAGTTCGCAATTTTTCGAACCTTATTAAGGCACCCAGCTTTTAACTCACCTCCAAAATGTAAATCTGTTATTTGAGATTTGGTTGAACTAACAGCGGCTGATAAGAAGGATGTACCTCTATGAATGTTTGCATTTTGACGTTCAGGGCTCTGTGTAATGACTCTGAAATCTTTCATTCACACATTAACTCTCAATAGTTTTAAGTATAAAATTCTCACGGATACATAAGTAAGCTTCTTCCTGAATGCTTCCCGTTTTATTGGTAAAACTATTAAGTGGCGTACTGTTACTAGGAATCCTCCGATTAACCTTTTTCTTAGCAGCGACGTTATAAAACAGGGAAATGTGTGCTATATCGGAATAGCCAGTTTCTACTACTACCAAGGACACGAGGTAGTTCTAAACTTTCTTGTGGAAGGAAAACGTATTACCCCTTCGACAATCGCATACCATAAGGTTCCCCACATCTGTTTGATTCAGAGTACATAAACGAGCCCCCGGCTCAGTGATTAGAGCGTTGGACAAGTCGCGGTTTCGAATCTCGGGCTTCGCAACACATGGTTATTAGTATGGCCAGTTGATGAGGGCTAATAAGCCAGAAATGACCATTCCAGTCGCCCTGGTTACTGTCGGTATTTTTCATATGCCTAGCTGCTGTGCGGCTGCTGACGGGGCTTGAGAGTGAGCCCCGAGACAGAACGGGACGAGTTATGCCCGTAACCGAGCACCTATGCACAAATTCGAATAAAGTGGAACCTCAGTTAACGAGGTTAATCTGTTGCGACACCGAACTCAGCACGTTAAACACTCGTCTTGCGAAACGTAGCCAATCGAACTACGGCAGTTCATTGATTGACTGCAGACGACCGAGTACCCACGCCTTGGGAGCAAGACTCAATGGCGGACACAAGCAAACACACACATCCACTGACGACTCGTTAAGTGGGCGGAAGCTCCTCAACCGAAACAATTTTTTTTTCTAATGGCTCGCTCGTTACCTGAGATACTCGTCACCTCAGGGCTCTACTGTACACAAACAGCCCATGTGGATTCGGCAAACCTTGGTTACTACGCT